TTAAAGAGATTTTTGCTATAGGGTGCGTGCACTCACTGGAGAGACAGAGGATAGAAAGCAAGAAACCATCCCCTCTCCCCCAGGGAAGATGGCCACACTGCAGTCCCTTCTCATCCATTCTCCTCTTGGGATTTTAGGAACACATGCAAATGCACCCACTATGAGTTTTAAGGGACTGGGTTTGTACCTGGGAGTCCAGCTACTTAACTATTACACCATCTGTTGATCCAAACATGGGCATTTTTAACAAAAGGTAAAGAATGCTGCTGGCTACACCAGCCAGTTCGGAAAGCCTTGTCCCATGAAATAAATAAGTGTTCGTGCATGAAAGAAGGAGGGAAGGTAGCATGAGTGAAACGACAAGAAGAACACTGAAAAGAAAAGTTGGCTCAACTGAGGAGGAGAGGAGGGAGAGTGAGCTGGGCCTGTGGGCAGAACGGTGCTAAAGACAGCCCAGGAGAGGGAAGGACTTGAAGCAGGACTATACACAGCAGAGACAGAAAGAAGACATTTGCAGGAGAATTGATCCTTTGTGTTAATGCGGAGTGGTTTTTTTTTTTTTTTTTGAGAGAGATTTTTGTGCTAAAGGGCAAGTGCACTTGCTGTAGATTAGAGAGACAGAGGGAATATTAAACCACCCCAGAGGGGATGGCCACACCACACTACCTTCTCCTCCATTCTCCACTTAGGGTTCTGGGCATGCAGGCACGGAGGCCCAGCATGAGCTTCAAGTCACTGGGTCTGGGACTCAGATCGCACTCAGCCATGTGAGATTCCAGTGCCTTAACCGCTATGCCACCTGCTCACCCCAGCATCCAGTATGTATTTATTTTCTAGTTTGCAGCTGATACATCAGTTATTTAGTTAGGGTGCTGCCAGTCATGTGTGGCACTCATAGCTAGAGAGTGGCGAGGCCCAGTTTCATTCAAGTTTGTTCCCAAATGACTGTGCTGGCTGAGATATCCCTACCTTGCCGGGTTCTTCCCTCTTCCCTGGAATGGCGCTCTCCAGACTGGGAGCCTCGGTGGGCCTCTCTCCCATTCCACCATATCACTGGCCTACTTGTGGTGGGAACCTGGCAAAAGACAGAATCTTTGTCATTAACCCAATGTGTTCCCACTCAGAAGGGCCAACTTAGACTTCCATCATGGGCCTTCACTGGGCCAGTATGTCTTGGTGGAGGCCTATACTTCAGTCCTTACGGAGGTGCTGACAGGCTGTCCTGCCCCAGGATCTTACTCAGGGGTGTCGTGTTCGTGCGAGCACATGCCACAGGAAGCCTCACATGGTACTTCTTTTTCTCAGCTGTATGGTTGGGGCTGCAGTAGAACGGACTGGCTTTGTAAATTGATCTATTTTTTTTTTCCTTTTTTTAAAAAAAAAAGATTCTAAGAATCTGTGCAGTCCAGGCCTATATATAAAGGAAGTGAAGAAACCATCTTGGGGTGGGGGGCAGAGTGGGAGTGTGTGGACCTTGGACCACTGCAAGAGCATCTGGGACCCTCATACCTCTTCCAAAGGGGGCTCAGAATACAGGTCATAGAGATGAGAGTCCAGAGACCAGCAGGTGGAGGAGTGTTTATTGAGCACCTGTCATGTGACTCTGGCCAGGCCAAAGGCAGAGTCAGGTCACACTCACTCAGTGTCAGGAGCCTGGAGTCCGGGCCCTCCCTCACACTATGGTTGAGGCACTTGTACCAGATAGCTCCTTCTTACCCTACAGTCCATGCAGTATGTGAGCAGGATGTGCACACTGGCCTCGGGAGGCACCCAGCCAGACTGGGGAGGGTCTTTTCCCATGCTGCACCCGCATCCTCCCGTCTACTCTCCCTGCTAATTACCACCATGCCTCCAGCCCTGCCCTAGACTGACCAACCCCTTGCAGTATCACCCTCCCCTTTCCTCAGGACCCCAGGGCCCTCTTTGCCTCCTGCCCTGATCCTGCTCATGCAACTTGATTCTCACCACCCTTGGGCTGAACCCTGCTCTTGTGTGGTCCAAGCTGAGACATGATCTGTACCCTGTGCTTTCCCATATCCTCCTCCAGCCCAAACTGGAAAGGGTGGGATGGGGGTGAAAGAGGTTGTCAGGGTGGAGGGAAGCCAGGAGGGCTGACAGCAGTGAGAGCTGTCTGGGGGACAGAGGAGGCTCTGTGCTCTCCCCTGCTGCATCTGTGGTGCTGGCCTTGGCCTCTAGGAGCCTCCCCACCTTCTCGTCCTGGAACAGCTGCCTGGGGGCCGGACTGGGGCAGCCAGTTCTGCCCTCTCTCCCACTTCCCCTGCCCCCTCATCTGACCCTGTGGTTGTGGTCCACTTCTATGGATGGAGCCCCTCAGTGAAGGTGGAGGGGGCCTGTAGTCCCACACGGGGAGCACAGCCAATGCTCCACATCCTCTCTTTGCCTGGACCACCTTCCCTGCAGCATGGGGAGCAGGTAAGGGCAGGTGAGCACTACCCTCCTCCATGGTCTCACTTTCCTTGAGCTGCTGCTTCTGCTGCTATCCAGGGCAAGATCTCCCTTGACAGCCATCCCAGCCTTGGAGGGACAGAAGGAAGCTTATCCATACTTGCCAGCCTCCCCACTTGCCTCAGAGAAGCTCACCTGGGTCCAGCATTCACTCACACACCACACCTCACCATGTACATGATCTACCCTCAGAGCCTTTTTACTGACCATTTCTTCCACGCAGCTGCCTACGGTGCTATGGTGGAGAGGATCATGCAGTTGTTCAGGAATGTCGCCAGCATTGAAATTGGCCCAAGACACCTGCCCACACCATACATCAGGACTGTTGCTGCAAGAGCATTGCAGTCCTTTCTGCCCTTCCTTCCTGCCAGTGGCCTCCCTGATTCCTTTCTGCCAATATTCATTCTCTCTCTCTCTCTCTCTCTTTCTTGCTTGGTGTTAGGGAAGCAAACACTGGATGCTTTATATCCCACTGTCTGCCCTGTGCCAACGACAGTACCAGACACATCTGTGGACATTCTCGATGAATGATGTGGCCTCGGCTTTATCCAGGTCCTTCTTACCACTGGACAGACATGAGAGGGCAGCAGGATGGATGTGATGGACCAGAGATGAGGACGCTGGGCTGGATTCTGGGTGAGGCTGATTTCAGGACCACCAGGACTTGCTCAGGAATTGGGTATGGAAGTGAGAGGAAGAAGGTCTGGAATAACCCTGCAGCTTGGACTGGTGCTGCCAGGGAAGATGTGGACAGTGGTTAGGGTGGTTTTGAGAGATTTTAGTGAAATTCCCAGAGGTCTCTGTGCTTACCGGTGAGATCCCATAGCTATTCCTGGCAATTCAACCCTAGGGGGCTGACCCCTCAGGGATGAGAGCCATGGGGTGAGACACCCACCCTTACAGCCTAGCTCTGGCCAGGGATCTGTGTATAGACCTTTTGGGCCGTTGCCCACGCTCTCTGCTCAAGGGGGGAGCACCTTAACCACCTTGAGCTTCCAAGGTTTAGCTCAGCCAGCTCCTCCCCTAGCTCCATCCCTGATGTTGCCCTCACAGACAACCTATCAGAGTTAGATAGCAATGACATCTGCAGAAGAAGGACTTATTAGTCCCTTCTCTATGGGTGAAGTTTTGTAATTCTGACCATTTAAATATAATCAACTGTAATGTAACTACAAATGCATCAATTAAATTATATTTTACAATGTCTGGTTTTTAATTTGATTTTTAGAGAGATTTTTGCTATAGGGTACATGAGCTCACCAGAGAAACAGAGAGAGTGAGAAATCACCCCCCAGGGGGATGGCCATGCTGCAATCCCTTCTCCATTCTTCTCTCAGAATTTTGGGCACACACACACACTTGCCTTAGCATGAGTTTCATGCTTCTGGGTCTGGGACTCGAACCATGGTCGGCCTTGTGGGAGCCTAGCAACCTTAACCACTATGCCACCTGCTAACCCCACAATATCCTTTTTTTTTAAAAAAATGCACCCCTCTCCCCCTTTGTACTATATAGTGATCTAGAATTACAATGTAGGGGCTGGCAGGTGGCGTGGTGGATAGGGGCGCTGGACTTCCACATAGCCAACCACGGTTCAAGTCTCGGACCTGGTGGCTTGCTTTCTTACTTTCTCCACTCTCTCTGTGTCTCTCTCTGATCAAACTGGAAAATAATAATGATAATAATAATAAATAAAGTTAAATAAAATAATTCTTTTTTAAAAAAGAATTACAATGTAAAGATGAACTCATTCCTGTACACATGACATTGACCTTTAGATTATGAAGGAGGCTGCTCCTCGTTTTCTCTTTTCATTGCTCCAGCTCCACATTGCTCCTTCTGGTGCCTGGGCATGATCACCTCGCTTACTTTTGTCCTGCTGGTTCATATGACAACCTTCTGAATGTTCTCATGTCCATGGGTGACTTGAAAACAGCAGGCTCCTGGCTGCATTTTTTTCATTCTTAGTCCTAGCTGCTGCACCCCTCCAATCAGACTGCAGGAGCGTTATGGAGTGTACACTAACTCCAGACCCTCCTGTTTTATTTCAGTGTGCGTATTAGAACAGTTTTCTCACTGTGATTCCATTGAAGACTCACAAACTAGTTCAGTGGGCGATAACATGTTTTAATGAAATCCAGCGGAGTTACTATAGGTATTTCTTGTTAACCTATTTCAAGTGCAACACGGATGTGCTTTTAATCATGTCTTAGAAATTACACCCCCCCCCCACCTATATCAGATATTAAACACAGTTCCTTTCGCTATAATTGTCCCGCATTTGAATTTGCCTTTAGCTTCAGGTTGTTAAACCAAGCTCAATAAAGAACAGCAATTCTACATCCTGGTCAGACGGCAGAACCGTTTTAGCCCCATGAGATCCGGGTCTCCCTGCTAGGACAGGAAAACTTCCGGGGTCTCCCGACGGCGCGCCGCAGAGCCTTGTGGGAAACGTAGTCCCACTGCAATGACGTAACAGGCACAGACGGCTTCCGCGGCGGCCAAGTTCCTTCTGCGCATGTGCTGCCCCGCCCCCTCCCGCCATCTTCCTTGAGGAAATTTTGTTGTCTTTCCTCGTCCTGACGTTTCTCTGCAAGCTTTGGGTTGAATTCTGTGTCCCTGAAGGTGGGTGCGACAATAAAAGAGAATCCTTTTAGTTTTCGGGGGACTCTAGGGAGCGAGACTTTGTGGGAGCAGAAATGTGGGTGTAGCTCGGACAGGCAGGGCCTGAGGGGCAGGTGGAGCCGGGCGCCCGAGCGACGCGGGCGGCGGGACCGCGGTCAGGGCTGGGTGGGCGGGCGACGCGGGCGGCGGGACCGCGGTCAGGGCTGGGTGGCGGGCGACGCGGGCGGGGGGGCTGCGGGCACGGGGGGGGGGGGGCAGTGTGGGCCCGTACCGCCGAAGGTGCGCGCGGACTTTGCCCGCAGCGATTGCTGTGCTAGAAGGCGGGTGTGTGCTTCCGGGGCACAAAGGTGGTTCCGCGGTTCGCAAATGGGGCGGTCGAGCCAAGGGGGACGGGGTGGGTTGTCCGCGGACGGCGTGAGCCCGCGGGGAGCCGGGAGCCCGCCTGCCGCCCGGCCCTGTCCAGCGTACCGTCGTTTCCAGAGGGCAGACCCGCGGTGACTGCGGGGTTTGTGGGGCTTCTTGTTACTTCAGCGAGTGAAGGTTCCGGTTTCTCTTGCATTTCGTAGTGTAGCTAGACCTTTTGGCTTGAGTTTATGGAAAATTTTCTAAGACCTAGTTTCCAAGGATAGCGAGCTCTAAAAGGGAGATTGGGGTATTGGGTAATGGCCTTTTTTGGGGGAACAAAACAGTTCTTCCGCATTAAGGAGTGGGCGCTGTGAATAGTAGTTCCATCTGAAAGGACACCGCTCTGCCCTGCACCTCACCGCACTTCAGAGGCAGAGCTCGCGGTGCGTGGCCCAGGCCTGTGTGCAAGGTTTCAGCGACACTGCTCCTCCAGTACGCAGCGCGGACTGGGGACGACTGGGAGGTTTGGGCTCTCAGAAGGGGTGAGCGTTAGATAGGCCGAGGCCTAGGTAATGCCTGTATTGGAGGGTGTAGCCTGGGAGGGGGCACTGCTTGTCATACCCATTGCTAGTAAGGGATCCCTATTATTTCACTGTACTCTCGTGGTTCCCAGAGTTGGAATCTAGAGATATGCCGATTCGCCCTTTATCCTGATAGTTCTTTCTGGTAGTTTAGGAAGGTTTGCCAGGTTCTTTCTGTTTTAAAGAAAAAAAGTTGTGTTTAAGGAGATAAGCGAATTGTCCAGGGTTACACAGTTTGTAGAAGTCAGGCGTCCTGACTTTTTTCTACAGTTTTATTTATTTTGCCACAATTAAGTCAAAACTCATGTTTTGGAAACTGTAGTCAATCTAGAACAAATGTTGTTTTAGAGTACTTTCCCTTGATGGTGCCTTTTTCTCTCCACCGTTTTCTGTTGGTTGTGAGAGTCCAGGGGTTAATAATACATTTTTCTGGGGCCAGCAGGTGGGATGGTGGTTAAGCTGACTTGAGTGGTTCAAGTCCCAGACCAGTGGCTTCAAAAACATGCCAGGTACATGTGTGCCCATAATCCTATGGGGAGAATGGAGGAGAAGGGATTGCAGTGTGGCTACCCCTCCCCCCCAGGTGGTTTCTCACATTCCTTGTCTGTCTCTCTCTAGAGAACACATGTGCCCTTTGACAAAATCTGAAAAGATAGGACCAGTAGATGGCATAATGGCTACGTCGCTGGACTCCCATGTAGTCGACCTCGGTTCAAGTCTCGAACCTGGTGGCTTAAACTAACACTGGGCGCATGTGCGTGTGTTCTCAAGATCCTGAGAGGAGAATGGAGGAGAAGGGATTGTGGCATGGCCATCCCCCCTGGGGGGTGATTTCTTGCTTTCTGTCTCTCTCTGCCTTTCTGGCAAGCGCACGTGCCTTAGAGCAAAAACCTCTACAAAAAATAAAAATAAAAAAGATGCATACTTCTTGTGAAGTTTAGGTATATAGAAGTAAGGTGTTCCTATGGAAATACCAATAAGGAGCCCTGGTCCCATGTGGTATGTTTGTATTAATAGGAGCATAATTAATACCACCCAAGCATATTTCTGTAACGGAAATTACAGTGACAGCATGGTGTATTGTCATTTACTTAAAAAAAACTTGAATTTTTAGTTATTTCTTCACAGTAATATTAATTTTTACTAAATCAGTAGGAAATAAGTGTTTTTATTACCCTTGGGATTGTGTGTGTGTGTGTGTAATTTCTACCAATGAATAGAATTGTGGGTTCTCCTTTAATGAGGTCTTTCTAGTCCATTTTCATGTGTAAAGGACTATTTCCCCTTAGGAAGATTTTTTGTTTGTTTGTTTGATCTGTAGAGAGCTTTCTACAGAGGCATCTAGGAGCAAGCCACACCATTTCTTTCATGATTTCCTTCATTTACCTCTCTTCTAGCTATAATTCCAGAAACCTCTATATCTTTCCAAGAGCAAAGAAAATGAATACATCTTTGGTAAGTTGTTTATTTACTTATACATGAACTTGTTTTTACATGGTATTTTAGGAGCTTTATGGTTTGTAAATTCCGATGGAAAAAGGAAAAACTCTACCATTAGAAAAAACACATAAGCAAAGTAAAGTTGGCATGTTGATATGATCATGTTATAATATTATAGAGCCATCTAAGTTGAGTCACAGTGGTCTCTTGTCTTTCTGATAGTATGGCTGAAGGACACATCTGTTACATGATTTGAATTGGCTCTGATGGGAGAGTATTTTAACTTCTTCTCAAGGGATATGAAGTCTGAAACAAAATTTTCATTGGTGACATAGAAAGTATAGTGGACGACTTTCACAATTAACTTAGAAATGGACAGACTGAGTTTTACAGTAAAAACGGTTGCCTAGTGCTGAAACACAAATCAATGAATGAGAATGAGGTTTTCCTGGAGTTACTAAAATAGTGTGTAGACAGCCTTTGGATTGTATTGACTTGGATTTATGGATAAAACCTGAAATGTAAACTTGAGTGTATTGCAGAGGTTTTTTTTTCCTTTTTTCTTTTCTTTCTTTTTTTTTTTTTTTTTACACGTTCCACATTTTATTTACATTTTAAGACTAACTTTAATCTCAAAATCACATACACCTATTTCCTTTTTGTTGACTTCACTTCAACTTAAATGCATGGTTTGTTAAACAAAACTGTAAACAAATATTTACCATGTCTGTTACATGTAACACACAGGAATAACTTTTAACAGAAATTCATCGATACACCCCCCAACATTTTTTTATTATAAATACAGGTATCAAAACAATCCTGAACATATTTTTGATACTACTAGTAGTCAGCACCCACACCACTTCAAAAATTAACACAATTTGTGACAATATTCATTGTACCTGCTACCTTAACAATTTTGACTGCAGCTCTTTCACTAAGCGAGATGGATAAAGCATGCCATTTCTGTTTTTCCTTCTTGAGATTTTTTACTTTTCAGAAACACACATGCTTACACTACTGCCATCTGACACTTCTTGCCATGCTTTTATCTTGAAAACTCA